AAGAGGCGATGGGACTGTCCTTGTTGGTAAGAAGGGTCCAGGGACCTCTGCTCACTGACCACGGAATGCAAGCCTGTCCCTACACACGCACCCCATCTGTACAGTATCAAACAGGAATTCAGGATTAAAACAGGCCAACTGTTACAGAGGACGAATCAACCGGAACCTTGAAATAAGTGGTTATGAAAGCGAGAATGGGCATTTTTATGCTCATAAGCCTGATTTACTAGGTTTTCACATATTATATTAGAAGACTAGGAAATGAAACATGATTAGGCAAAGCTTACAGGTTTCTTTGTATCCTCCAACATAAAAGAATAAAAGCTGTAAAAGCTGTGGTTTTTAATTTTTGTTTTTTTTATGTTGTTTTTACTGAACAAAGAAGTATTTTACCTTAAGTCTGGTACAGAAGTTCAGCTCTCTGAGTCATTTTAACTACAGCTGACACCACAGAAAAAACTTACCTGAGCTCACCTTTGGTGACTTCCTGTTACCTCTAACTTGGCTAATTTCTCTAGCCACTTACACAACCAAAGAAAAAAGGAAATACAACAGGAGCTTGTCACTGGCTACCCACGAGAATAGTGCCCTAAGCACATCTTCACAAACACCACTGTGCTCTGCTCCGTGCGTTGAAATAAGGGGTGAGTCCCCCAGGCGTGAGTCATGCGTGAGGAGCTGCAGACACTGGCGCCACGCAACTCCGATGGAGTACTTTCTCTTTTTTATCGTGTGATGAGAGCCAGCTCTTAGCCACACACGCCCAACCTTAACGCCTTCCACTTTCCACTTAAGGCGGGTGCAGGGGTTCAAAGTGCTTCACATTTGACACAGGCATACGGACCCAGAGAGCAACAGTTCTTTACTGAACAGTGACTTGACGGTGTGGATACTCCCCCCAGATCCTGAAATGACAGGTATTTCCTAACATGAGGTGATAAGAGGAAGAAGAAAACAAGAGTTTTTCCGAAGATGATCTAGTGGTGATAGAAAGGTGGCCTCCTGCTGTGTGAAAGGCACCATCAGAAGAACCCCCAAATGCACAGGTGTAGTGAGGTGTACGTACGGTCTGTGCACTCTCCAGTCAGTACAAGCACCGGGAAGCACGCTGTCACACACAGATGTTCACCCACAACACCAGGAATCACTTAAGGGGCAGGTTTGTGTTTTAGAGTTGTGAGTGGCTACCTCACTGCCTCCCTTCAAAAAAGTACATGGGAAACCCTACTTTGTATTCTCCAGGAATGGAAATACAGGTAGGGCAGGCTACAAATGTAGGGGAAAATAGAGTCTTTAAAAGAATGAAGAGCCTCACAAATTTGAATGCCCTCACTGCGCAGGGCCATGCCTATCTTGCATGTGTTGTCAAAATCTGGGTGCCGAAAGGACAAGAGTACAGGGGTTGAGGGGAGGGTGTTCTGCCCCGGTAGTCAGGTCACAGCAAGGGATGCCTTTATTTATATGCCTGAATGTCACAGCCACCATTTTAATAAACTCAACAAGAGTGGCCAGAATTATATACAGAAACACTAAAATAACAAGATGAATAGAACAATGACACACCAGGAAATGCTACAAAGAGAGAGAACAGTACGTAGGTGAGACTAGGTACTAAACACAAATCACAGAACAAACAGGAAAAAGCAAACATTTCAGAATGTTATTTTAAACTAAACAAAAAAACTAAAAGGTTGACACTGTGTTGTATGTTTGAAACCAACATAAGCGTGTTTATCAATGATAGTTTAATTTTAAAAAATTAAAAGGTTGAAAAGAGTGAAAACACAGACAAATAAGTACCACAGGAGAGCAGAAACCAACAGACCAGGAGGAGACGGAGATGCGAGTTCTAAACCTGGTTTCTGCGATTAAATAGCTAAGAGATCTTTAGCAAATCATCTAAAAAATTAAGAGACTGAACTAAATTCACTCTAAGGTTCTACAGTCATATGATCCTTATGATTCCCTAAAGACCTCAAATGCAAAATGAACACCCGGCCAACTTCTTCCTGGCCTCCTCTAGTAAAGGTTTTGCCCATTTTTCTGAGCATTTGCTGACAGGCTGTTGGTTGGGAGATACATCGTTACAGTAGAAGCTTTTTCTTCCAGAATTTAACTTTCATTGTGATCTTCTCACTCAGCAGCCAAAGACTTTATAAAGAAGTAAATTTTAAATGACATAATATCTTTGAAAGCAGACTGTCAAAAAATATTTAAGAACAATAAGGTAGCCATTTGAATACTAAGCTTTAGTTGAAATCTCAATTATTCTTTCTTTTATTGTAGCTGATATACAATACTATGTTTCAGGTGTACAACATAGTGATTTGACATTTACATACATTACTAAATGATCACAATAAATCCAGTTACCATCTGCTACTCTACAAAGTAGTTTGATTTACTCTTAATTAATAAAAGCATATTTTCAATGTTCTTTAAAATACTATACAAAAGTAAACTGGAAATGGATCAAAGACCTGAATGTAAGTCATAAAACCATAAAACCCTTAAAAGAAAACATAGGCAAAAATGTCTTGAATATAAACATGAGCAACTTTTTCCTAGACACATCTCCTTGGGCAAGGGAAACAAAATAAAAAATGAACAGGGGACTACATCAAACTAAAAAGCTTCTGTACAGCAAAGGACACCATCAGCAGAACAAACAGGCATTCCACAGTATGGGAGAATATATCTGTAAAAGACTCATCTGATAAGGTGTTAACATCCAAAATATATAAGGAACTCATACTTCTCAACACCCTAAAAACAAATAACCTGACCAAAAAATGGGCGGAGGACCTGAACAGACACTTTTGCAAAGAAATACAAATGGCCAACAGGCACATGAAAAGATGCTCCACATCACTAATCATCAGGGAAATGCAAACTAAAACTACAATGAGGTATCACCTCACACTAATTAGGATGGCCAGTATCCCAAAGACTAGGAACAACAAATGCTGGCGAGGATGCGCAGAAAGGGGAGCCCTCCCACACTGCTGGTAGGAATGTAAATTCATAAGGCAATTGTGGAAAGCAGTACGGAGGTTCCTCAAAAACCTAAAAACAGAAATACACCATTTGACCCAGGGACTTCAATCCTAGGAATTTATCAGAAGAAAACAAAATTCCTGATTCAAAAAGATATATGCACCCCTGTGTTTATTGCCACACTGTTTGTGACAGCGAAGATGTGGAAGCAACCTAAGTGTCCAATACAAAAAAACTCTTCTAAAAACTAAATTACACAGCAAGATAGATCAGGATTCTGTAATAATATAATCAACTTTATGGTAACTATGCCATGATTTAATGATCATAAATAATGTTTCAGTAAATGACACAAAGAAAGAATTCAGGAATTGGAATACTGAATAAACGTTCACTTTAGAGACACAAGGATGTGTAATGCCATCAACAACCTTGACTCTACAGTCTAACAGAGAACAGTGATGACAAACGATACAGTGAGACTGACAAAATATATTTATAACCTCTCAAACCAGTGAAACCCGTTCATGTTCAGTAAGTCTGAGTAGTCCTCAGCGATCTTTCTCAGTGATCCCTTCTGGCACTGGTTCAGGCAGTGCTTCAGGTGGCCCTTCTCCTCTCCTAATGAGCCTCTGTTCCTTTGAGAAGAGCTAAATACACACAGCAATGCCAAGAAAGGCACGCATATTGGATCAGGGAAACCAATTACATTCGCAGACCAAAGGGCACCTATTTTGAGCTGCATATTCTTTGTTTGGTCATTTAGGCTGGCATACCGACATCCTCCCCAATTCCACTCTGATTCTAAGTCTACCTTTCAGGCAAACTTTTCCTCAGTACATGACTCTTGAACTGTGTGATAGTTACAAGTCATGTAAATAATACTGCAATCACCTCAACTTAGAGTATGTTAATAAAAAACAGCACTACCACTAGCTATCGAAGTATTACCTTTATAATGCCTTACCTCTTTCCATAAAGGACTTCAAGTGCCAAGTTCTAAAATCTTTTCTACATAATAAATACAAGTCTACACAACAGATTAACAAAGACAGTAATATGCCACTGAAATTTGCCCTCTAGCTTAGTAACCAGTAACGGGGCTAAGATTACAAGTCATTCGGTAATAAGATGAGAATCAAACTTTGGTACATTAACATGAAGGGCCATAGCGCTGCTATTTAAAAAACAACTTTAATGAATTTTTAATGGCTAAAAATATGCTCAAGTTATGGTAGGTGAAAAAAGCAGCAGGATGTATAATTTTATACACCCTCTCCCCCAACGCAGTATTCAGTATACGTGCATGTGTGTGTCAAGAGCGGGCTCTGGGAGTCAGGGAACTAGAGCATACTTTTTCCTTTTGTTTTCTGCATTTTTTTACTGTCCGTTATGTTTCGATTAAGGTAACAGTAATTCGGTAACTTTTATATTTTTCCTTTGGCTACAGGAAAACAACTTTAACCCAAGCTACAAAATGAGGACAATGAAAAGGACAAGTCCCTGGTTGGACCTGTGGGACGTCAAAGCCTAAGAGAACAATGCTCAGTAGAACATTAGAAAGTAGCTGAAAATACAAATAAAATACTTATCCGCTATTCAGTAGTTTAAACTTTAAAATATCAATCAAAGGCAAGAATTGTTTTTTTTTGTTTTAACCATCTCTTATATCTTTGGAAGCAAGAAATACAATGAAGATTAACAATAATTTACTAGAACTAAAGACACACGTGAAAGACCGAGGGCACCAGACATGTGATGAGAAGGTAATTTAAAAACAGTGAACTTTATTTTGCCAGAGGGTCAATTCCTTAATATGTTACAGTCAATAATTTATAGAAAAATAAATATTAAGTACTTCTGCTTTAATAGATTTTTTCCTACAAGAATATGAAAATATTTTCCTGAAGAAACTAGTAAATGTTATTTATAAATACAGAATGCTTATATATAACCTCAGTAACAAAGAAAAATGAAAGAAATGTTTTAATGTTGCCGATTACCTTCAGGAGCAACCGCGGAAGGACAAGCTTCTCGGAGGAGATCGCCTAGTGTGTGCGGCTGTCCGTCTGCAGCCACAGGCCGGAAAAGCCTCTGGACGAAGGGCCGCTCCGTTGTTGTCTGTTTGAAAAAGGAAAAAAGGGAGTCCAACAACTGAGTCTTTGTTGCTGTGAATTACAAATTGATACATCAGAAATTTAAAGTGGACATTAGATGCCTTTAGTATAGTAATTAGAAGCATGCATCACAAATGTATACTATCATTGCCAAAAATGCTTACAATAAACTCAAATCTCATTAAGAGGAAGCAATCAGACAAATCCAGAATGTGTGATATTCTAAAGGCAACTGGCCTGGGTTCTTCAAATAAGTCAATGGCGTTAAAAAAAAAAAAATACAAAAAGATCAAGAGACCGAATAGCAAGATATAACACCTAAACTAAAAAAAAAAATCAGCCTTCACTGAATACGGGATTGGAGAAGAAAAAAAAAATCGGCTATGAAAAACATTTTAGGAAAAACTGGGAAAATACAGAATGAACATTAGATATTATTGAACGTGTCAACTTTACTAGGTATGATAATGGTTGTAAGGACAATATCCTAATTGTTATGAAATTCATACTCAAGAATTCAGAGATGAGTTGCCATATCTGAAACTTACCTTCAAATGGCTGGGGGAGTGTGGCGTGCGCAAATGTGGAAAAGTGTTAACTACCGGTGGATCTCGGAGAAGAGTATATTTGGTCTTGCTTAATATTTTACATTTTCTACATGTTTGAAAATTTTCAAAATAGTAGATGCAGCATTTCCTCTGACAATTACTGTTAACATCGTCACAATTTATTGCGAATAACTTCAATGTTTTACTCACTTTTAAAATCAAGTTTTTTTTCCCTAAACCACTCCTACAGGAGGTGACAATGATGACAGAAGCCTCCCAATGGCACAGAGGGCAGGGGCTCTGCGATCAGCCAGGCCATGAACAGCACAAGTCGTTCATGACCTCTATGACCTTGCACCCAGTTCCTCTGGACATTTAGGACATTCCATGCCTGTTCAGTTTGTTGCGAAAATAATTCAAGAACGGTGCCAAGCACAAAGTCAATAAATAAATAAATGCTAGAGAATAAAATCATCCCCCCCATACCTGTTACTTCATTTTAAGAAGGTTAGTTTTTATTTTATGCTTCCAGGAGTGAAAAATCATAAAAACCTTTAAGAGCTGAATAATGCCTTATATTTCATAAGAACATGATTTCAAATACCTTACCATTAAAGACAAGTTTTTTTATTTGTTTTTAAATCACAGAGGCATACCTCAATGTCTCTGACATAACTTGGAGATACAGTATAACATAATCATTTTAAGTACGGACAAAAACTGAAATAGAAGAAGAACAGACATGCAGGCATGTGAGCTGCTTTTCCTAGCTCTACACTGTGTGTTCAGGGGACACAAAATAGTCAAAATGGTATTCCAATAATACAGTTAGGTGTGGCAAGCATGAGAAAACCTGCAGAAACCTAAAATCCTGATAATTAATATGCATCAAATATAATCCAATTCACTTCACTAACTGAACTCGAGCGATTTTTTTTTTAAGTATGATGATAGCCTTCGTTTAGGAAGCTCATACTTCTCACGTAAAATGAAACTGAGAACAATATCATGCACAATTGAGGATTAGCTATGTGAAGACAGTGAGGGTTAGGAGAGTTCAGAGAAGAAATGAATGGGGGCTGTCATAATAATTTAAAATAACCACCACCCACTTAGGGCTTTCTATTTCCCAGGCAATGAAGAGGCTTTTAAGACTTTTTAGCAAAGGAAGTGACGTGATGAAAGAGGCTCTTTCTGAAGGCTAATGGAAAGCAGCGCTGTGTGTGATGCCTTGGTTAAGAGGTAACATCAGGATGACTGGTGAGAGGCTGTCTGCATAATGCAAGCCTGTGCGATGACAACGGGGACTGGGTCGGTGGAAAAGGAGGGGCAGGGCTGTATCCCCAGTCAAAGAAGGAAAAGTTCAAATGCATGATCCCTAGTCTGATCTGAAAATAACTAGGGCTTCGGCTACATCAAAGAAGTCTTTGCAAGATTCATTCACCTCCTACTTAGTGAAAGAATTGTGAGGTGACTTTGCTATAATAATATATAGAAAATTATAATATAACCACCCGAAAACAATATGCTAAACAGAAAAAGCCAATATATGAATACGTAGTCTTAGCTACATATTAAAATACAGCAATTCTCCTCTACCCCCATTCCTACAGAAATGGCCTGTAATTTCTCTGCACCTCTCTTTTTTTCCACTCTCCCAAATCTATGGTCACCATAAAGGCATAACTTCAATAACCTTTATAATGACGTTGTTTGCTTGGAAGGAGGAGGGAAGCCCCAGTACTTGTCGTGTATTCTAACTAAATTCTGTAAAATGATAACCAAGAAAACTCTCACCAAACTAAAGTGCTCTTTCTAACAAAAACCTTATTTTAAGAGATGCAGACCCAAAGTACTCCAATCCAAAATGTAATAGATATTTCTGTTTAATATTTATTAGAGTACACTTGAAAACTTGCACTCTTAAAAATTTAGTATTCTAGAAAAAATTAAGTCTGACTAAGTCACACCAAAGATTATGAAAAATACTCAATTTTGGGAGTCTTTACCCTTAAAACAAAAGCCACAGACAGATCATCCATCCATTCAAGCACCGTTACAGAGCTTCTGGAGGGCAATGGGAATGGAGGGTAGATGCATGCAAATTTCTTAACAGATCTCATGAAACTAAGTTGGAGTCCAGCAAAGAAGAAATATGGCAAGAATTTAAAAAGTACAAGAAGCTCCATGAACATGAACCCTATAAACTTTGATTCAGCACACATGGAACCACACACCGCTAGCAATATCCATGTGATCTGAGTGTCAGCCCGACGGACAAGGAGGCCACTGTACCAGGAATGTAATTACAATACTTCCTTAATCCAGCCACTTATTTGTAAATATGCAAATTACTTTAGGGACTTCCAAGAAACAAGTATTACTGTCTCATGAGAAGTAATTATGACTTGGTAAAGTCGTCTCTGAAACTGCCCTTGTTACCTTTTAAAATATGTCAGTCATTTCTTAAATACATCAAATGGAATATTAAACGGGTGGCACCGGCTGGCTTCTCCCGATCCCTCCCTCTACTCACGAATCCTTACCACTGAAACAATAACTTTTTTCTATATGGAAAAGCCATGTCATTGATTTACCTTGGAGATACACTGAACAAAAAGCAAAGGAAACAAATCTGTAAATATTTTAAGTTAAATTTGTGAAATTTTAGTGAACCTTTTTCTTAAAGTGACAGTTCAAGAATGACGCTTAAATTCTTAAAGATGGTTTGTGTTATAACTATAGTGTAAACTGGAGGCTAATTGTGACACTGTAAATTCCTATCTAAGAAATAAAATAGAAAAAGGCCTATTTTCAGTACAGCTAAACAGGTTAACCAGAAAGGTTAACATTAAAGTTGACTTAAAACAAGAAATGCTGACTTACTATAAAATGAGACGATGAATGGACTTCAAGAGTAACAAAACTGTATCACCAAGAACAAGTCTGATTCTTTTGCGTTACTTAAGGTACAAACTGCAACAAAGGGTGCACAGCAGCTGTTAAAGAACAAAGGCTTTGGAGCTTTAAGTCCAGGTTCTGTCATTCACTAGAGCATCACGGGCACAGTTACCACCTCCCTGACCTCAGTTTCTTCGACTGTAAAACAGGGATGACTATATGCATATGCACACACACGTACGTATGAGTACAAATGGACACAGCACCTCCATTGCTGAATTTTAGAGACAGTGAAGTGCGTGCACAGCACAACTGTTGAGCAGTCAGCACACACCTAAAACACATACCACCTCCACAAAAAACCGAACAGTTTTGTAACAGATATTTTAACTTTTTACTATCCTAATTCAGCAGACTCATGTTTTATTTCCTTTTAATTCAATCTATTTTCTCTAAGTTCACTTGCCTGGAACTTTAAGCTAAAGGGTCCAGAATCATGAAATTCAGCTTGTGTTGCAACGTTTATAAGGCAAGGGGAAAAAAAAGTCAAAGTAATTTCAAGATTAAATTCAAAACTAGTTTAGAACCTAACGCCAAAAGTAAGATCTATAAAGAGAAATACTGATAAACCAGATCTCATCAAAATAAGAGTCTTGCTCTGCAGAAGATCCTGTGAAGAAGATGAAAAAACAGCCCACAAGACTGGAAGACGGGTATCTGTGAGCCACACACCCAACAAAAGTCTTGCAGCTAAGGTATTTAAAAAAAACCCTGAAGTTCAAAAGTAAGAAAAACAAAGAATTCCATTAGAAAATAGGCAAAAAATACAAACAGACTTTTTATCAAAGATGATATACAGATGGCAAATAAGCACATCAGAAGGCGTTTGATGCATCATGAGCTACTACAGAAATGCAAATTACATCACAGTGAAATACCACTCCACACCTACCAGAATGTCTAAAATCACTGTAAAATGATTCTGTATCATCTCCCCTGAAGGCCATTCTATTCTCCTTGGTTAGGCAGAAGAAACTGATATTATATTGGTTTTATATATGTTCTGTTGTTCCAGGTGTAGCTACACATTTTGATTTCATCAGTTACTTTGTGTTTATGATTTGCTTTTAAATCCTCTGAAATAGGATGACTGATTTACTATGTGTGTGAGTAAAATTTACTTGACTTACCAAGAATTGCTTATGTGTATCAAAGGATTTCACTTGTTAGATTTGAGGATATTTTTAAAAAATTAGCTATACTGATCTATAGCTGGAATTTATAATAATGTCTATCATTAATAAAGAATGTAATTTATGTCATGAACTATGTAAATAGTATTATGTTTTAGAAAAATTAAGTCTAGAAAGAGATTATATAGAACTATCAAGTGAGAAAGATTGCTCTCACTTTTATACAAAAGTTATTGTAACTAGTATAAACTGAACTGAAAGGCATTAGAAAAGCTAAATTTTGTAATTTACAACTCTCATAAAATACAAATAACTGTAAGTATGCCATCCATGCAAAAAAGCTACCTCTAAAGCTACCACCA